TTGTGGGGAAAGCAAGCATCAGTACAAAGATCCTAAAAAAGGAGCATTGCTGATATACTTTAGAGACAAATAGGAGGTCAAAATGGCTGGAGAAGAAGTATAAAAAGGAAGGAGGTCAGGGGGAGGTCAGAGAATTAAGTGGATGAGGTGAACCAACAGGTCATTTTAAGTTTGTTGCTTTTATTTTGGATGAAATAGGAAGACATCAGAGAGGAATATAATGTGAGCTTTCCTCTTGTTCTTAAGTAGGAACTGACTGAAGGGTCAAAAATAATTGAAGTTGTTCAGATTGAAAGTGCTGGTAGCTCACCCCAGGGCTGCATCAGAGGAAGTGGTGAGAAGTAGTTGGATCCAGAACAGACTGTGCAGGCACAGCCAGCAGGATTTGCTCTTGCCTCCAATTTGGGTTATGAATGAAGAGGAAGACCTTCATGTTTGGTGTCTGGACATTGGTAAAGATGGTGTTGCTGTCAATTCTGACAGTGAAAATTATAAGTGGAGTAGGTCAGAGCAGAGGCCAGGTGAGATTAAAAAAAAGTCATCTTTGGACACTCAAGGACTGAAATACCTACCTTACCTGCCACACAAGTGAAGCTGTCCAGCAAGCAACTGTAATACAAGTCTAGAATTTAGGAGAAAGAACTGGACTCAAAACATTAATGTGTGAGATGCTGGTATGAAACCATGAGATTAGCTCTGACTATTTCTCAATTCTGTGAGTTTTGTTTTAATAGAACCTTTCCAAATTAAAAGCAAATGGACAGACTACATTTTCCTGTACTAATTTGAATTCCACTGCTTTCATAATGCTTTTCTCACTCATGCCAGCAGGAAACTTTTGCCTGGCCCTGGTTAGAGTTAACTTATAGAGAAATAACTATCCCTAATCTTTCTCAAGGAAGACTGCAGGGGGTCTTTTGTTCTTCTTAAGGCTAATCAAGAAAGTGTGTGCTGCTGCAAGTATGCCTGCTAGCATGCTTGAAACTGAGCTCTGGTTTCAATTCTTTCTGCTTCTAATCATCTATATATAAAAATCCTTTGTCATCTTTGCAGCAGAGTCTTGGCTATCTCCTTTGCTCTGCATTAGCCTTTAAAGAGAACACTTTTGTTCCTTCCTATCTCCTGTGAACAAAGAAACACACCAGAAAATAAACATAACCTCTGGAGGCTGGACGATGACCACTACTGAGGTTGCTGGACCACTCTGGATGAATCTGCTCACTGCATCTGTCACCTAGCTTGTCCATAGCTCTACCAAAAATGGTCCTCCTCCTTTGGAAGAATTTCAGATTTGGAAGAAAATTATAAATTCTCATATCATAATAAACTTTCCCTTTGTTATGCCATTGATATTTTTCTCCTTCCATTTCTAACTATTCTCTGCTAATTTTAACCTTTCTCAGATGTCCCTTAAGCCCTTGCACACTCTGCTTTTGCAGAGAGGCAAAACACCTGGCAATGTATCTGCCATGTTTTCCAATCTAGTGCTAGGACACATCACTGTGCTAGCTGATCTGGGAGCTTGGACAGTATGAAAAAAAGATGTTACATGCATTCTAAAACATTTTGCACAAAAGGTAGTTATAACTATTTAGATCCATTGCATCTGCAACCACACTAGGATTTGGGAGGCTAGGTGGTCAGAATGATTATCTCCTTGCAATTTGAATTGAGGCCACTATATCAAAGTTGTGACTATTCTCACACTTTCAACCCCTTCAGTAGTGCTAGGCAATTCTGTTTCTGGATTCATGTTTTAAGTACTCAGTTTATGCTAAGCAGAGAGGAAAAAGAAACAAAACACCAGTTAGAATGAACTATGAAAGAATCTGGAAATGATACCCATGAAACCCTTTTTAAATAAGCAAATTGGACTCATGCATCTTTTATTTCAAATGTCTACTTTACAGATGAGCTTTTCTAATCATGGTGTGCATTGACCCAAAATGAACCCAGCTTGAAGGCATCCCTGAAAGCTCTCATTCATTTTTTCCTCATTCTAGGACTATTAGATTCTTCCCTTACCCAAGTACTCTTTTTCCCTTCCACAAATCCATAATTGGTTGTTTCAGTGACCATGGACACATGAGTTTCTAGCCTATATTTTCAGTAGTAAATTGAATTTGTTAACAGTGCAATACAAGGTCTGTGTGATACTGTATGAGAAGGTCTGTGTGATACTGTATGAGTGCCTGGTATTTCTGATAGCTTTCCCAAACCCTTTCCCTATATGCACAACTAGATTTGGCAATCATGAGTTTTAAAGATATTTTCATGTATATTTAATCAGAAAAATGTATTTTCATTTCTTTTTTGTAATGATAGGATACTGTTTTACAAAACTTCAGGTTCTATTAGTTAAAAGTAACATAATCCCGATTTAAGACAGCCTGAGTAAAATGAGGATTATCCTGGAAAGGTCTTGGTTCATCTCACAGAATCCAGGACAGGTCTAAATAACCAGCCCTCAGATAGTTCAAGGATGCAAGTAGATGTTGCAGAAACCAAACACATGAATATCTTCAGGACCCTTTCCTTCTCTTCTTTCTGCTCCATGCTGCAAAGCAGACACTTTTATTTGTTTGTTTGTTGGTTGGTTGGTTGGTTGGTTGATTTTCCTTTTTTTCATGACAAAGTTTCCTCTCATGGCTGAAAACATGTCAATGACAAATTTCTGAGTTATTTGTTCTATAGCATCAGCCATCAAAAAGAAGGTACTCTGAATTGTCTTGGAGCGCAACTCAAAATGTATAAGATAAGCAACTATCTTGTTTTAATTGGTTCTTCATTCTTAAAGCAATATACTTTTTGTTGGGGCAGGGAAACAATACCATTCCTGACTAATTGTGCACAACTTATGAGTGGGGGGTAAGGAGAATGGAGATGGAATGGAGTGAATGAGTGGTCTAGAGAGGACTTAAAGAATTTGGCACCCTTAGAAGAAGAAACTGTAGGAAAGGTAAATTCAGGAAAAGTATTACTCAGAAGCAAGGCAATGACAGGACTCAAAAGAAATGAGAATGTGAGGTTGCCTGTAGGACATGCCAGAGGAAGAGCTCTTACTTGAATCAAGGACACTGATGTTCCAAGTTTATGTAACTTCCCTCACAGCACAGAGGTGGTGTGAGGCAAGGACCACAGATGACAAAGAAACAAAACTCTTTCCTTTTATCTTCATTAAGACACTGAGGGTGGATGGGAATCATGAGGAAAGTAGAATGTGAACTGGAAGAGACCTGCTTATTTTTTTACTTGTTTAGTTGGTTTTAATGAGCACATTCATAGTAAGCTTTCTAGGTTTTTTTTTTTCCTTTGTTCTTAAGATATAGTTGGGTTCCATGAAGTCATCAACAAGCTTTTCCCAAACATAAGCCCCATCAGCACAATTGTATGTTTGCTGTGCTGAGCAAAAACGTCTAATAATATTCTGAACATATGCAGGAATATTACTTTCTGGGCTTTGAACCAATCATTGCTGGAGGGTTTCCTACCTATTCTGGACATTTAAAGTAAATCAGCTTAGTTTTGCTGGCATCAGACTTAAAGTAGCTCCACAATGAGCACACTTATTATGATATACTACTTTTGTAACTTCATTACTTGCACCTTCTTTCTTTATAAATTTGTGGAAATATTTTCTCTTTGCTTTATCAGATTTGTTGTGAAAATTTCTTTTCATAAACTCCAGTATTTATCATTGCTTTTATTCTTTATTTTATTTGCTGCATTTATCAAGCACTTGTCAGGCTTCTCCTTAATTACAACACCACAGAGATCTGAAACTCTGTAAAAGGTGCAAACTACCTTGCAGTGAGTGTCTGAGCTGGGATTCCAAGAAGACATAGGTGTCCCTAAAGTCCAGGATTTCTACCTAGAAGAAATGAACATTGCCTTCACAACCACTCACCCAAGTACTGACTAATATTTTTCCTTTCCACCATTTTTGAAATATGCAAAGTGTTTGAGTTGTTTGTGAATTTGTTTCATAACTTGAATTTTCACTTAATTTTGTCTCAATCTGTTCTGATTTTTTTGTGCACATTATTTGCCGTAGTTTTATCATGACCTACAAATTCTGTGCCCTTTGTTTCCTGGGTAATATTCTAATATCAGATATTTATTTCAATTCATTATTTCAGGCAACATAATTATGAATAGAAGTAATTGCCATATAAAGTTTACATACTTGAACAATATGCTTAAGATAGAAACATGTTTTGTGGTTTCAAATCTTATGAATGTTTTAGAGATTATTTTTAAGTATGTGATATATTTTCCAGAACAGCCACATTGTTTTGATCATAACTAGTAAAGGCCTTGTTTGAAGGATAGCAGTAGCATATTTATTTATTTGGGTTGTTGATATAAGGTCTTGCTATGCGGCCCAGGTTGGCCTTGAACTAACCATCCTCTAGGCTCAGCCTCCAAAGTGCTGAGATTATAGCTGTATGGCATTTATCACTTTCAGAAGTGATAACCTTTCCTTTTATGTTAAGTGAACAGGCATCACATCATCTTTTCAAATTTCCTGTTGTCTTTGTGCAGGTTAAAATAGTTTCCTGGCCATCACCCAAAAGAAGCACACAGAGAGTAACCTTGATAATCTGTACTTTTAACCTTTACTTTAAAAATGCAAAAATCCTTAAAAAATACAGAATCATAACCTTTATACATTTTGTTCTGTGATAAATGAAATGCTTTATAGATTCCAACCACTTCAATTTAACTTTATGTGAAGCAGCATTCATCCCAATATTATAATTCTTAACTCAAGTGCCTAATTCAGCTTTGAAACTCTTGTTATGAAGTTGTCCCAGGTATATCCACTCCTTATGGTTAAACATTTGCATTAGTTTCATATCATTTAAGTCTGCTTAGGTATAGAAATATAGAAGATCAATTTTCATTATTAATTCATGTGTCAGCATATGACATGTTTTGTTTCCTTTGTTTCAACTGATTTTATTTATTTTATTTAAATTTGCATTATCTCCCATTAGGTGTTTGCCAAACTACTGTGAACATGGAGGGCGATGCTCCCAGTCCTGGTCTACCTTTTATTGCAACTGTAGTGACACAGGCTACACTGGTGCTACCTGCCATGACTGTGAGTAGATGCATGACTTGCCCATAGTAGGATGGACAGAACTCCAGAAATACCAGTGTTGATATCTAGACATATTTAGCAGTGAGTGAACACATCTTATTCATTCATCCAACGTGTGTTTTTTGAGAGGATTTTGTATGCTAAGCACTGTGGTAGGAAGGGAGGACATATGGATATCTGACATATTCTTGTGAAATTTATGGACTATCTGCAAGACAGATAGGAAATGAGAAACTGGAAATGCAGTTGGATATGTGTTGAAGTGGAAGAAAGAACAGGTGTGATAGGCACCTAACTGGGAACAATAAAGTCAATTACATTGCCTTGGTAGGCTAAGTGATGCTGCTGTAATGAGAAACGAAGACATTACTGGTCTAAGTAATAAGTGTCCATGTCATAGCTATGTCACATGCCCATCACTCATTGGTAGAGAACTTCTTCACATTGTCTGCATTATGGCAGTGTTTTGTAATGTTACCATGGCAGGGAGACGGAAACATAGGGAAGTATGTGCTTGTTTCTACAGGAAAGTAGCAAACATTACTTCCACTTATTTTCTAATAGCCAGGAAAAGTCACAATAGTACACCTAGAATAAGGTGAATTGCTTCTTACTGTGGGATGCAAGGCAACAGAAGCTGACCAGGGGTGATAAGTACTCATGAGTACTTGTCAATCCCTAGCATTAGGGAGACTTTAAATGGAAGGGTTGGCCTGATCCTGCAGTAGAAAAATGACAATAAAACAGAAAGGAAATAGATATTCAGACCAAAGGATCAAATGTGGGCATAAAACATAAGTGTCTTTTGTGGAAAGTCTGAATCGGCAAGTAGTTCCAAATACGTCTCTTAGTTCCTGCTGCTTCTGGATGCAACACAAGGATGTAGAAAGGGACAGGTAGATATCAGCTAGCCTGGAATCTGACTCTGATGTAGTATGAGTAATGTGGATACTCTTTAGTTTTCTGGACTTCTTTGTCATTCCAAGGCCTCTGCTCTGCTTTGGAATGTAGCATTTACCAGTGATGCCCATAGAAGAGTCTTATCAAATCAATATTAGTCCAGTGGTCATCATGAGGTAATATTGTTATTGCTGTTAATTGTCAAGGGAAAATGATAAACACTATCTGGCTGTATAATAAAATATCTTATTAAATTTTTTTACTTAAAAATTTAGAACAATGAAGAGAAAACTGGAGTGAGAGAAAGATTGGGTTTCAGTTGTACCAAGATATTATTATGCTTAAATAATTACATAACTTTGTATCTTCAGTGCTTTTTTCCCCCAAAGATCCTATGAGGAAAAAACTCATGAATTTTTGTAAGCCCATCTGAAGATATAATTACACATTAAATACCACCCTATAAGTTTTAAGTCTGTTTCCAGAAGTATCTCCAAATAACCAAGAGTAACCTGTACAGAAACACTGCACGACACACACAGGACTCCTCAGATTATATGCCAGTGCTACTGTAAAAAGCTCAGAGGAAACCAAACTGATCACAAAAGAACCTTGAAGATTTAAGTCAATGCAAACCAAGCTTCAGGCAAACCATATTACAACATTCTTATGATTTTTAAAGCTTTTCCTGTATACTTTCTCCAAAAGTAATCTAAAATTTTTTAAAGAGTCATCTTTATGGATGCTGTTCTTCTTTAGTTTACTCAATCCATCAGGCTAGAAATAGAAGATTTCTAGTTTTAAAAAAAAGTGTGAAGTTGAAAATCGATATAGTGAGGTGCTAATTTTTAAGGAACACTGTCAAGGCTGATAAGAAGCAAATTCAATACAAAGTCTTGAAGAGACTGTTCTTTAAAAAACAAGAACACCATCACCTTCCCATTCCTCTTTCTGTGAAATTGCTCAGTTCTTACACTGTACGATGCAACTCTGTGAAAGTCGATCTTCCATTCTGGGCACTAAGCCAGAGCAAATCTGAGGACTTGAGTTCTGCGATGCTTGGCAAGTGTGCCTTGTTTATCTATTTAATCTAGGAATTTGTCTTCCCGCTAAGTCATCTCTCCCTTGGCCATTTGGGTGAGGACCATTGTTTTGAGTCACTTTGTGAACTTATTGAATCGTTGCATTCTATAAGCATGTGCCCCAGAAATGAGCCATCAGAGGCTGGAGGTGCCCAAATGAAGAAAATGGTATGCAGAATGCCATCAGACAAAAACAAAAGCAAGCAAGACTTCAATCCTTTCTTATGGACATGACAGGTGTGTTGGGGCATGTTTCAATGAAGCAATCAACCATAATCAAAACAATAAATGTGAATTCTTTGGATTGATAAAATATTTTTAATAATATTAAAAATAATTTCAATAATACACATAGTTTATTTTAAAGGTATTAGAGTTTGTTTGGGCTTTATTTATTCATGCTTTCTAGCAAGTGTGTGTCAATAGGTCTGACTTCAGACAGATAGGATTGACTTCTATATCCAGCCTTTGTGGATGAGAAAGAGATTGGGGTGAGGTGGAGAACAAAAATAAATTCACTAAGGAATAGCAAAATGGTAATTCCCAAAGTCATTAGACACATATAGCAGGTTGCTGTTGGGAATAGAAGTACCTATATTGTACTTTGCTTTTCTTTCCTTCTTATCTAATGACCCATGAGGAACTTTAATGTGAAAGTTAGCTAACTTTTCAAACACACATGGTTCAAAGCCACTTCTTTAGGAAGGAGAGTGATTGGGAAATTTCTATCCAATGTGTGACACCCTCCTCATATGAGGAGTCATCCTGAGCCAGTCACCTACCCTATAAAGTGCCATTGGACACAATTATGTCATGTCTGTAAGTTGCTAGGGGTAGGAATTTTCTCCTTTGTGTTTTCTTCTATTGTCTAGAGGAATAACCAAAGGTAAACAATGTTTGTAGTCCAGATCCAACTCTAGCTCCTGACCATGTTCAGTACCTTCAGATCCAGAAAGATAGATATGATGGTGATTTTTTATACAATGTGTGAGTTCTGAAGGTTGTATATTTGAAGCCAAATTTCTAACTACTTTGATCATTTCTTAGTCATGGTAGGACAAGTCCAACTTATTAGGAATACAAATTAAGGATTTAAAAGAAAAAAAGTTTTGATTGTGGAAGCTTAGTGCATAAATTGATAAATATCATTGAGATGTAAAGATACAGTAAAATGCATACCACTATTAATCTCCATTTTACAGGTGAGAAAAATGAGACCCAAAAAAGTTTACATAAAACCCTCAAGGTCACACATCTTGTAAATGGTAGAGCTGGGACTTGAACTCAGGGAATCTGGCTGTGGATGCTAGGTGCTTAAATCCTATATCTTCTTTCTGCAAATCTCTGTATACAAACTTGGTGACATCTGTCATACTATGTGGAAGACAGTATGATATTATGATATTGTAACTGAAATATTGTTCTAGAAGACTGAGAGATGATAAATTTTCTGTGTTTTAAAACAATCATGGAAGAATTATAGAAGGAAGTAGAACAATGGAAGCCTTGATGTACTGTGGAATTGGAGTAGACATAAGGAAAGGGAAGTGTATTAAAAACAGGAAGAAGACAATGCAGATGTTTGCTAGCTTAAGAAAGGATGAATAGTGTTATTTATTTGTACCTGAAGCCCAGACGGGAGTCCTGTAAAGCACATTCCTCTAATAAAATAGAAGCTCAATTCCCCTTATATCTCAAATTTTTCTCATGCTTTTGCAACATTCTTAAGTAAATATCACTTTGATACCTACATAATAAATAGACTAGTGAGTTTTTTGCTGTATTATATCTGATAATTTATCATTTCACTCCCAATAGAAGGGGTCTGTGTTTTTTCCAAATGTTCGTCATGTAACTGACATGATGGAGAACATCTTTGTGCTTAAATATTAACCCACAAGTTCTATTGGACCTGACTTCTCCTCAGAAATGGTGTTGAGTCAAAGGCTGTGTGTAATTTGAAGGGTCTTTATTCATATTTCCAACTTTCCTAAAGTCTTATTAGAGTATATGTTCTGTTCACTGTTACCTAAAATTTTATTTCACTTTTTCTTCCAGAACTATTTATTCCAATTTGTAAAACTATTTAGCTTGCCTTTTTGCTAAAGCATTTGCACATTGAAAGGGAAATTATCATTGACCATCATGGTGAGTTTCAGATAAGAAAAGGGTTTGTTTTTTGAGGTTAGTACAACATATGTGATTGTTTCCACAGAATTATCTTCTATCCTCAACTTATACCTTTCGAAGTACATCGGGTTTTTCACTTAGTGGTTACTTACACATTGAACAGATGCACTAAATGATAAGAGAGCATGCTTATCACCTCTGTGTGGCTCCTATTGAGTGAAACTGTCTTTTATCTTCTTAATATCTGTGCCTGATGACATTTGCAAGGGCCCTGTTCAGGGTCTCTATACCATGTCTCAGGCTTTGCTAATCCCTTTTCACAACATAGATCTCTGACATCCTAACAATGCCTTTGAGCTCATTTTTCAGCTTTAAAGAGGATGACAGCTTCCTTCCTCTCCCAAACCTGATATAGTGCTTCTCCCTTTGGGCAGTCAATAGTCATATATTGATTGGAGGCATATCAAGTTGTCTGACTATCAGATTCTATAGTAGTCAACACAAAGCAACAATACTTTTCCAGTTTCACAATAGGTAAATTGTCTGGACTACACGCCATTTGGATACTTGGGATGATGGGTTGGAGAGGGTAGACAGTTCTGATTATAAGTTTCTATTTCAAAAACCTCACTTATCTTTTAGCTGAGGTCAACTCTTACCCTAAAATTATTCTGTGAACTTCCTAGCAAGATCTAATGACATTTGATCTCCATTATTAGCCCTGAATATCATCAGCAGAGTGTTCTCAGCTTCAATAAACAGAAGAAGTAGAAGTAAAAGGAAAGAAAGAGGATGGGGAGGAAGAGATTGATGAACTTACATTATGCCTTATTTTATGACATTAAGAGCAGCTTTTTATGTTTTTATTAGTTTTATTCATATTAACTC